GAAGTCTATTCGATCAGAGTGGGTGGTGATGTTGGAGGTCGCAAAAGCTTGAAAATCTTTTTTCTAATTCGAAAATCTCCTTCTCTCAATCAGAGATACATCGTTTGGAAAAGAGTTTTGTGCACTTTTTTTAACATTAAACTATAAAATATTTTTTCGAACAAGAAGAAGGAGAAGGAGGAGAAGGAGAAGGAGTAGAAGAAGAATCGTTTTGTTTCAATTTCTAATGGAATGTTAATGCTTTCGAAGCTTAAGTTATTCTATTCTACCACTTGTAACAATTGAATTGAATGAATCTGATGACGAACAGGCCAGCTGTTGCCCATATTTGTTCATCCTCAACTGGACATCTTCGTATTTTCCTTCAGCTTAACAGATCTGCTCAATTGCCATTTTATTGGCTTTTTGTCTCGATAAGCTCCTTGAAAAATTTGTTGCGATTGCTTTTTGTGTTGTATATTAACTTTGCATATAAGGGGAGTGAAGAGGAGGGTTTTGTCCTTTTTGGTATAACAATTTGCAGTCCACGCGGACCATTGATCTTCTTTTGCACCGCATTTTACAAACATTTGGTTGGTCTCATTGTCTCTCTTCTACTCTCTTCCTCTCTCTCTCTTTCCCTCTATCTCTTGCTCCCTCTCTCTCAAATCTTTTCGAATTTGTTGTTCTCAATAGCAACAGACCCACATAAATCTATACACACACCACACACACACATGTGCACCTTTTCTCACTTACGTGCTCCATTCACGTCTGTTTCATTTTTAATGAAAAATTGACAGCAAGCGGTTGGGTTGCATTCTATTCCATTGCGAATATTTTCATTCCCTCTCTATTCATTACATAACGCTTAAGCTTTTATTATTTAATATAAATGCATATATAATATGTTTTGTTTGTGATGAGCTTTTAAGGGCATTTAATCTTTTGCCTTAAGCGACACAAAACAAAAATGAGAAAATCATTTCATCATCCGCCATATAAGGCATGTCAAACTGAGATTACAATTTGCATCATCCTCTAATTCCAATTATGTAAAAGAACCAGCCTAATAAGCTTAACGGATGTCATGTTGTTTGCTCCGACGGGTCAAGCCTCCATCATTCTTTCCGCTCGCTCCCTCTCTTCTTATTCTCACTACGTTTGGAGACAATTTTGAGCAAAAAGCTCTAAACAAGACATACATTGAAGAACGTGTTCAACAATCCCATTGCCTTCTGCTTCTTATTCTGTGTTTTGCTAACAGAAATGAACTCCATCCATATTCATTTCCCTTTACTTTTTGTTGTTGTTGTTGTTTATGTTGTTGTTGACGCGACGCATGAAACGATTGCGTTGCGGTCGACGCCGCAGGCCATCTGGCATATTGCCAGTCGTCAGGGAGCTCCAACTAAGAGAAAATGAGAAGTGAGAGAGAATAAGATAGAATAATCCAAATTGGAGGGTGACAGAGGGAGAAAAAGAGGCGGATTGCTAATTTGCCTCACAACACATACAGATGCAATAGAAAAGCAAAGGGAGTGGCAGGAAGAAGAGATACAACAGACTCCCTTTTTCTCTATCTCTCCCCAATTTATGTGACTTGTGCAACTCCTTCTGCTTTTCATGGTCAGCTAGTAGTCAGCCAGCCAGCCAGCCAGCAGGAGGAGGAGGAGTAGGAGGAAGAAGATGGAAAAGAAGCTTCAATGATGAGACTCTTCTCAAGAATGGCCACACATGCATCCGGCATGGCCTGGACGTCCAGCCCCTTTCTCTCTTTCTCTCCCTCCCTCCTCTCCCTCTCTCTTTGTAGCCTCTCTCTCTCTCTCCTTCTCTCCCTCATAATCCACAGCTGGAGAAGCTGCACATCATATCTTAAGCTGCTCTTCGGCTTTTCATTATCCATTTAGTCATTTGTTCGTCAATTTCTGTATGTTATACGAATGGTTATGAAAAGGAATAATTGTTTTCTTTTAATTCATATTTCACATAATCCAGATGTTATTTATGTAAACTTCCAACGAATCTCCGTATTATTGAAGTCGCCACTATGAAATCATGAAATGGACGAATGTGTAATTTCTCTTTCTCTCTATCCCTTCTAAGCCTTCATTCCCTAAAGTTTCTGATCTACTTTCTCACTCTTTCTCTCTCTCTCTCTCTATCTCTGAAACATTTCTTTTTCCCTCTTTCTACTTTCCTATACAGCCGTGTATCTCATTACTTTCTCCTTTTTCTCTCCAAGTTCTCTCTCTCTCTCCCTCTCCTTTCATTCCCTCGATTTCACAACATACTTCTTTCGTATGACTTCCTTCCCTCCATCTCTTCTTTTATTTTCTCTCTTATGCTTTCTGCTCATAATATATTTGAGCATTAAGATGAAATGAAGTGAGATACAGAGAGAGAAGAAACCAAAACGTTACCTAACTATTCCTATAGCTCATTCCATATGTACGTATAATTATTTACTCATATTTCCATATAAAGAGAATGACTAAATGAGCATTCTGTCACCTTCGTCTGCTCTCTTTTCTCCTTTTACAAACCTCTCTTCTCTATCTCGCACAGTCTCTCTCTCTCTCTCCCTCTCTTATTCATTCTCATATCTCCTCAATGGCTTCTCTCTTCTACCAGCTTCTTCGTCTTCGTCTTCTTCTTCTTCTTCTTCTTCGTCGTCAATTATCTTGTTCGCAACAAAAAAAATAAGAAAACCGGTTTAATCTAAGCGTTTTCGAAATATTTCCGAATTAAAGAAAAATTCCTTTTGCGTCATTAAGAGAGTTTTGTATATTTTGTTGAAGACGGCAGAAGAAAACAAATTGAGGAGGCAAATGAGAAGAGAAAGAAGAAGAAGATAAAAACCAACCGTTCTCTGTTTGCTTTTCGTTCTAAATGAAAGCACGTCGTCCACGTAACTTCTACGTGGAAAACGTAATTTCATTTTGGATTTTCAGCACAAGTTTTAAGTTTCAAACGAATTGGGTGGTCTTCTGTTTCTCTAAATTGCGAAGCTCTTCCACTCTTTCACTTTCTTACACTTGAAGCTTGGAGATCTTTTCAAGCATTTTCTCCATAAATAGTAAATTCGTCTTGTTTAACTCGAATTTTCAATTTTTTCTTGGCGTCGTCCGTTGACTGGCAACAATTCGTCAAAATAATGACTCGCTCTCTATCTATCAATTATAAGAAGAATTAAACGATAATTATTCTTTAACTGCGCTCTGTTGCTAATTAACTTTGCTTCTTTCACCTTCTAATGACTCTCATGACAGGACATAATCTCTCCCTCTTTGTTAGAATCTCTTGCTTACTCATGTTTCTGAGAAACATTGAAGCCTTTTTGATGTTTTTTTTGTTCTTTTTTTTCGTTGGACGATTCCGACCACCTGTGCCTCTTCAGTTGATTGTTTGTGTCATTCACAAGCTGTTTCTCATTCTATATTTTCGAATGGAGAAGGATAGCAAGAAAAGAAAAAAAAATCTCTCCTTTGACAGTTCCTTTGAGATAGAGCTAGAGAGAGAGAATGACATACAGAGAGAGAGATAGTATGAGGGAATGACGAAACGAAATATTTTGATGCAAACGATTCCAATAATTTGTATTCCGTAATATCGGAACGTGGATAGTTGACAAGCTAATGTTTATTCTGCCAAATAAACAAACAACTTGCCATTTTCATTTTGTAATTTTCATGAGAACGAGCATTTGCGACTTTTCATAAAAAAATGTTTCCGAAAGAGTTTCTTATATTCGTTGCTTCTCAAATTACGGACGAGGTGTCGTCAGCCACACATTTCACTTCTACGCATCTGCCTTCTATTATTAGTTTTCGTTGTTTTTCATAATTCTTCTGATGATGTCCATCAATGTTCTGTCCAACCCTCCCCTTCTCCCCCCTTCTTTTGAAACTTCTGAAACTCAGCTGGGAAATATAGATTGAAATGACTTTTAATAAATAAAAATAATTTTTTACACATGACTGAAGTAAAGCTATTGTCATAAGTATTTTGGCATTCATCTGGAAGTTCAAGAGAAAGAGGTAGAGAGTGAGAGCCAGTTGGAGAGCTCACAATGAGTAGAGAGGATGATAAACTTTAAAAGGGAAAAACCTTTCAAAGTCGGAAAGAACAGTCTTGGTAATTGACGAATGGAATGTTTTTCTTCGAGTAAAGCAGATTGCTCAACCTGATAAAACAGTTGCTTTTGATTTCTGTTTAATTTAATAAAAGAAAAAAACTTTCTTAATTGCTTTGAGTGTGGATGAGTAGTAGTGGAGTTGAGATTCAGTGTGCAGTAGACGATCTCAGCGGTCGGAGTTGGTTTGGAGAATGACATCATCATCAAAATGATTTTTGTTAACATTTTGAAGATGTGTAGAGAAGTTTTACAAATTTTCATTGTATGACTTATGTCCTTATATGACTACTTCTTGCTCTTCTGTTTTCTCTCTCTCATTCTCTTGCACTGTACATAGATGAGACTGAGAGAGAGAAAGAGAGTAAGAGAGAGAGAGAGGTTGAACCTCGTAGAAGAAGGTTTGTATAGTTGAATTGACAAAAGATGAAAAAGAAAAAAAAAGTTTTGTGTCTCATTCAAACAGTGTGTGTGTGTGTGACTGAAATGGAGGCTTATGAATCTTATGAATCTCACCAACTTATTATCACAAGGTATTTTACTTTTTATATTTTGAAAACTGAAAAGAATCCCCCAAAAAATGAAATTTCTCTTCGTATTTGTTTTGTTTTGTTTATTTTATAACTATGAAGAAGAAATGAATCATTCACTTCTCAATTTCTTTATCATTTGTATTCCATTCTATCCTACCATCATGGGTCGTTTATTTCGATCCAAAAGTTCTGTTTCAGTTATGTAAGTTTACCTCTTAACCTCTCTCCTACCTAAACCCACTCACCACATCGTTCTCTCTCTATTGCACTCTCTCTCTCTTCGTTCATATGTTCATGTGCTCTTCTTATATTACACTCATTCCAGAAGCGTCAAACTTCCATACTTCGTGAAGATGTCTGAAAAGAACTACGTAAGTCTCATTTTCCTTTTTTTTCCCCTTCCTCTCTACAAACGGAACTCCAGTCTGAATTCTCGTTTAACCATTTTCTTATTGCCTTTTGAATCTTCCGATTGCCGTTTTAAGCAAACTTCACCCCAAAGTGTATCTTCTTTCTGGCAATTCTTTTGCATCTGACGAGTTCATCGTTTTCTGAACGACATCTCAGATTCAGTTGAACGAAGACCACCACAGTTTTTTCTGGGTTAAAAAATAACCAAAAATCTCATAAAAGTGACATTTCCTTTTTTATTTTTCCTGCTTCTCTCCTTCACTCTTGTGTGGGATCATGCTCATGATACATCTCTCATAATCATATCACTTCAAGTGACGAATCCAGAAAGTTTCTGAATGTGCTTGGGAAAAGCTCTTTGATTCCTTGGCTCCACCCCCACGACCAGAAGCTGTTCAAGGCTTTCCCAACATCTCTCTGAATTCTCTTCTTTTCCCTTGATATTCCCTTTTACGGAGGCTCTCTTTGCTCGTTTTTGCTGCTTGTTGTCTGTCCCTCCAACCCTGTTTGATCGTCATCCCGCCTTCTGCTTCGACCCTCCCTCCTTCTGTCTCTCTATCTCTCTCTCTCTGTTTCTCTCTCCCTCCCTCTCTCTATTCGATCAACCTCTTTTCCGCATAGCAAGTTACTGCTTCATCGTTTTTGCGTCTATATTTGGACATATCACATCTTCCGTTTACTGCGAACAGTTTGTGTCGTCATCTGGAGTGTTTCACCTTCAGAATAATTTCACGTCCATCATTCTTCTGATGTCTACAGTTGCCACTTGTTATCACTCAAATTCCATTGCAACTGTTCTGAGCACAGTTTGTGCTTGAAGAAAGTTTCAACAAAATATTTTCAATATTTCTGACGTCATCCAGATCATCAGAAGAATTTATTTCGTTTGAATCTTTTTTTCTCTCCCCCATTCTCTCTCTCTCCATCACTCATACTCTCTGGCTCTCTCTCTGTCAAGGTGTATAGGATATTTTTTAAAAAATTGAAAGATATTTTGCTGATCAGCTGAGAGAGTGAGAGAGAGAGGAGAAGAAGAAAAAAGAGCTATCAGTTTGCGATTGGAGCAAAAGACAGAAGATAAAGGCAGTAGAAGAATTCCACTCATCTACTGCCTTCATCTTATTGTCGTGATCGTCATCGTCATCGTTGAGTCATCCGAATCTTGACATCAGCTTAACACATCTCTGATATATTCTATAATCATTCGGGTGAATCTCTCTGTAACCAAAAAGAATATCTGCTTCTTCTTCAATTCATATCGTTACGGAACCGTATGCCTACACTCTGGCACTTTGCCAAATATATAGTGAGTCCTTATATAGATAGAAAATCAATCTTCATTTGCATATTAGTTGCATTAGTTCTATTCCCAATTTCATGTGTGTGAGAATCAATTTTTCGTGGAAGCCTCCTCCTCAGCCAATCCATCTTGTCAACTTCTTCAGAAAGTTGTAAAGAGATGAAGCAAAAGCCGATGAATCTTGTTGAAAAGTCTTTCATAAGATCGTCTTCTCATATTTTATTATTTTTAAATGTTCTATATATGGAAGCACTCTTATGGCATCTCGTTTACTTTCCATCTTACTTTCATGTGCTGTTCCTTCCTTCAGCCATCTAAGCAATGCAGGAGGAAAGCAAAAACGGACAAAAAACAAACTCATCAATCATTCGTTCCGTATTATCCTCATCTCTCTATAAGTTTCGGCCACCTCACAAGACTTCCAATTGTACCTTGCACACATACAAACTATAACCTCTTTCGTCATCTGATGCAATTTGTATGTTGTTCAACAGTAGAGAACGAAACAAAAAAAAGAGAGGAAAGAAGGAGAGGAAAATATTTTTTTGACACCCTCTTCCCTTTCCTTCCTTCAAATTACATTTGATCGGCCGAAATGTAATTAAAGACATGAAGATTCGAAGCTTTTGCCCTTTAATGGATCTCTAACCTTCGTTTCCAAAAAACTAATTAAGAGAGAGTGCAAGATCTGTTTTTACTTTCTTGCTAATTTCCTATTTCTTACAGAATATTCCATATCGCAGCAAATTGACGGAGAAAATCGAACCTGGTCAGACGTTGATCATTCGTGGAAAGACTTCTGATGATTCCAACAGGTTGGTTACCTCTTGAAGTAAGAAGAGTAGTATACTTGATGTCTTTCCAGATTCAACATAAATCTCCATAAGGATAGTCCTGATTTTTCCGGAAATGACGTTCCATTGCACATTAGCGTTCGTTTCGATGAGGGAAAGGTAAGACACGTTTACCTTCTTCGTACAGAATTGTTTTCTTCCTACCTTCATCCCCCCTCCATCTCTCCCTCTCTCTTAGGAGAGGAAGAGCTAAACAAATTTTCTTTTTTCTTTCTATAAACTGATTGCTTTACGTTGTGTTGTGCAAAAAGAAGAGAAAACATCCATTGGCAATGATGTTTGATGTGAGAAGTTGTTTCAGCATATCATTACCCTTCTTCTCTTTTGTCCTTCTCTTCTTAAAGCAAGATTTCTCTTGTTTCTACCACCTAACTTGAAACTCTCTCGAAAATACATTATCTATCTCCCGAGGGATTCAAATCATGAGTCAATTCATGTCTTTTTTCTTGTTTTGTCTGCCGAAAGCTTGTGTATAGTTTGTAGTATATGACATATAAGATGATAGGAAAAGCTTTAAAAACGGAAGAGGGACAATTTTCGTTTCACATGCCATAAATGGCTATCAGTCAATCACTTCTCGAGTTGATAGCTTGCCTGACTCATCTTATGGCTTCTCAGTCCCAAAAGAGTCTATCTGAATTGCCATGAAAGCCGACCCGAAACACAAAAAGTTTTTAATCCATTTACCATTTGGAGAGGCCAAGAAGCTAAGAGTCCAACAAAAACGAATTCTCTCTCTCTAATACTCTTTTACTTCCTGTCGGCTTATAGCTTTCATCTGCGAATAAGAAGCAGAAGAAGAGCAAGTCATACTTCTTCTCCAGTATCTACCGCGTGCTGCGCGACGTTCCTCTTTCCTACGTCTAGGAAGTAAGAGGAGACAAAACAATTTTTGTTCATCGTCATCACCAACTGTTTCTTTGAGTTTTGGAATATTTTGAAAAATGACAGTTGCCTTTCTCACCCATGGCAGCAAGTTGACACATTGACAGAGCTATTGATAGGCTTGTAAACATTTTGTGAAAAAATTAGATGACAATAACCAAATAAGGCAATGTTTAGAAGATAAATCTACTCTAAATATACAGAGAGACTAAAAACAACCAATGAGAAGATGAGAGGTTGTATAGAGAGAGAGAGAAAGAGAGAGAGAGAGAAGACGACAGAGGAAAGAGCACAAGAAGATTTAGAGAAGTCATAATGAGCAAAAAACAAATGGATTTATATGATTTACGGCTTTTTGTAAATGAAATTATTGTTTGGAAATCTCGTTTTTCTTCTCTCTTTTTCAACTTTTTAAGGATGGCGAAGGAGCAAAAAAATATTTTTTTCTTGTTTTTTTGTTTCGATTTTTCATTGAAACAGAGAGATGAAGAGAGAGGGAGGGAGAGAGAGACAGAGAGAGAGAGAGAGAGGGTGAGCAAGTTGTTGCAGCGTGGGTGTGAAGAGTTTATGTAATGTTTGTTTGTCTAAAAACTTGATCACTGACATTCAAATATTCTTAGACAAAACATCCAAAAACAGTTGAAAGCTAAGAACGAACGAACGATTTATAGAGAGAGATAGAGAAAGAGAGACACATACAGAGAGAGATAGAGAGAGAGAGAGAGAGTTAAGAAGAACTTTTGAAATTTCTTCCACACGTCTCTCTTGAGATTTCAGCTTTTGGTTGTGAATGACATCGATGGCTCATCCATCTGAATGAGAAAGACCTCATTTGAAGTAAAATTTATAAATGAAATGAGAAGCCAAATGAAATTTTGGAAACATGCAATGAAATGTTAACCAATATCCAAATGTTTATTACATATTTAGGAAACTGATCCTAAAGCGAAAGTAAGTTACTGTGGACGCGAATGTAATCCTTTCGTTTGTGTAGTTAACAGATCATAAACATGTTGTCATAGTTCACACATTAAATCACTCTATAGTCTGCTCGATCATTAACTTAACTCTAAATCTAACATATCCATCAACTACAATCAATTATCTTCTTCTCTTTCAGCTCGTCTTCAATTCATTCACCAAAGCTGCTTGGGGTAAGGAAGAGAGACAGAAGAATCCTATAAAGAAAGGAGAACCATTTGATATTCGAATCCGTGCTCATGACAACAAATTTGTCATCTCAATCAATCGCGTATGTTCATTCCCATATTATGAAATCATACAGTCTGCTTCATTTTCAGAAGGAAGTCAAACAGTTCGATCATCGCATTCCTCTTCAACATGTAACTCATCTTTCAATTGATGGAGATGTTGTCCTGAATCACGTTCAATGGGGAGGAAAGTACTATGTAAGATATATATTCATGTTCAGAGAGTTTCTTCAAGTAGAGAGCGACTATTTCCTATTTCTTATGCCGATGTTTAGCATATCTAGTGTACGTGACTTGCCCACGTGAATTCCACGTGCGTCATACACGTGGATCTAGAGCGTCCTCGCATTTTGAATTTCATTTTAAATCTTAGTTGCTCTTTGTCGGTTGAAGACAGCCTCTCGCCTTGTTCATTCATTCTCTAATCATTTCGTTTCAGCCTATCCCATATGAATCTGGAATTGCTGCTGATGGTCTCATTCCTGGCAAGACTCTCGTCGTCTATGGAACGCCTGAGAAAAAGGGCAAGAGGTTGTTAAACAATAAATACAACATAAGGCAAACAAAGTATTTTTAAGATTCAACATCAATCTGCTGAAGAAGAATGGTGACATTGCTCTTCATTTCAATCCTCGTTTTGATGAGAAAGTAAGTGCAACGTTAGAATCTGATTTCTTCTTGATGAGTTGAAAAGAGAAGAACAAAAACAAAAAAAAATTTAAAAAAGCTATTGGTAAGCAAAGAATGTTTGTAGGGAAATGGGCTAATCTGTGGAAAATTGAAGCCAGGAGTATGTTTATTTTCAAAAAATCAAAATAGATGGTTTTATGTGTTGTGTTCGTACCAAATTAGGTTTCGGCAGTCCTCAGTTTCTAATTTCTTTCCTTCTTAATCTTTATTTTGCGCATTTCTTGTGTGTAAAAGCAAAACGTCACTGACTAGCCTAGTTGCTTCAACTCTCAAGAGAATTCTCTTTTTTTCTATTAAATTTATTTTGTTTCATGCTGCAAACAAAATTAATTTGAAAAGAAGAAGGGTGGTTGACTGAAGGGGGGGGGGGGAGAAAGAAGAAGTTCCATCTCTCCTCTTTAACTCTCTTCATGATTCCAAGTTCTCTTTACATGTTAGAATAGTCCGGAGTGTAGATATGTTGATATGTGTGTGCGTGTATGTTTTTCCTAACTATTCTAATGTTTCAGAAAGATTTTTGTGACTCCTGTTGCTCTAACGAGGTTAGCTGTCGGCATTTCGTTTGCTGATAGACGATTTGAGCTTTCTTCTTTTTCGCTCATTTTCATATGAAAAAAAATAAGAAATTTTTCAAAAAACGCATAAAGTTGAAACAAAATGGCTTTTGATGTGTGCTTAGCGATACACATGATATAGAGCATAGATACTGTATATGTAGCTTTTTCTGAGTTCTGATTGTCCGTTTAAGTTGTGTTCAGTGTGTGTTCGTGATGAGACCATTCTTAGTTTTTTAGTTTTTCTCATATTTGGTTATAATGGCTATATTTCAGTGCGTCATTCGCAATTCTTTGATCAATGGCGAATGGGGTAATGAGGAACGCGAGGGAAAGAATCCGTTTGAGAAGAACGTCGGCTTCGATTTGGAAATCAAGAATGAAGAATTTGCTTTCCAGGTAACTGTTCTATTCACTTTCCCAAATCTTATCTTGTCTTATTACAGATTTTCGTGAATGGTGAACGATTTGCTTCATATGCTCATCGTACTGATCCTCTCGAAATTGCTGGACTTCAGATCCAAGGAGATCTTGAACTTACCGGAATTCAGGTCGTTGGACACTGAAAATGCCCGTAAATCTTTCGATATTATCACTTTGTCATTTGATTTCTTAACTTTGAACCTCTTTTATAGTTTTCGTATAGGCTAGTCTATGCTAGTCTGCTTCGAGTTCATATTCTTTTATTCTACTCGGCTATCGACCAATGGAAACACTCTAGTTTTTACCATTCTAATCACTCGCTCTCTTTCCTCTGTCTCTTTACTTTTTATCTCTCTCCATCTCTTCCTCTCTCTTTCTCTCTCTCCGTTTTTTCCCTCTCTCTCTCTCTCCCTCTCTCCGTTTCTCTCTCTTTCAATTTGATTCATCTGTGCCTATCCCATCTGTTGAAATAAATGATATTCATACCACAGTTTGTAATCGTTTATCAAAAAATCAGCGTCATCTCCCCACGTGCAATTCTCACGTGATAATTCATTTTCCGGATGAGCAGACACCAAGCGGTTGCATTCGAACACAAAATCAAACAAAAAACACAAAACTGTACAAAAAACAAATTTATTTAATACAAAAAAGAAGAAACATATATAAATAGCGATGTAATGCATTTCTACAGCTTTCCACCGACGCTGACTTAGATCTTTGCTTTGAGCATCTTGGGATCCAGTAAGCTCTTCAACTTCATGGCTTTAGCAATATTTCCCTTCAACTTCATCTTTCCTTGCATGAAAGCTTGATCAGGCTTCATCTTTCCAGCAGCAATAAGCATGAAATCGGCATCCTTAATGTTAATTTCGACGTCAACTGGCTTGGTGGATTCTTCTTCTCCGATGTAAGCAGGGAGATTCTAGAAGACTGTTTTGAGAGAGATAGAAGATCGGCACATCTTACCTTGGTGTCAATTGTCCACTTCTTGACAGTGCCGTCAGCGCCAGTAACGTTGATTCTGAAAGCGGTTCCGACTTTCTTAACCAACTCGGTCTCCTATACACAATCAGATGACGTGAAGTTTGAAAACTAATAACAAACCTCAGAAAGACGGGCCTTGATCTCCTCGAAAACGACGTCAGACTTGAGACTCATTTTGGAAGATGGTGATGAAGAAACAGTTGAAGTAGAGACACTAGGAGAGGAAGAAGAAGCTAGACGATAGAGGGCAACCACACCAGCTCCACCGATTCCTTAATTGAAAGTTTATACTGTGCGAAGCAGAATCTTATGAATGTTTGACTGACAAGTGAGGTGAGATAAGAATTTGGTCTCGCGACGAATAGGCAACTGATATAAGGCTTTAAGTAGAAGGAAAAAGCTCAAGCATAAGCTACTGATAATGAAATATTCTCAACATTAGCCAAAAGAAGACGAAAAGAATTGAAGAAGAGTAGTATGTTCAGAAGTAAACTTCATAACTCGAATGAAATTGAATTCATATGGGTCAGGTAACTACTTGAGTATAACCCTCATAACCCTTATTCAAGTCAATTAGGAGAGAGAATGAGAGAGAACAAGGAACACAAGATCAGTTCCGTTTTTTTAATAAAACCGAGAACAAATGATGAAAGATTAGAATAATTATCAGTTTAGTGGGGTTTCAGTAACATTTCATTTGGACAAAACGGATTCTCAAATCAGACTAGAATACACTATGATAAGGAAATGGCTTTCATAAGAATTTGCTTTGGGAACTTCAAATGAACAAACATCTGACGAATGTGGAAACCTCGTAAACTTGAAAAGCTTCCATTCCCTTTCATAGTACCTTTGTCTTTTTCTCCCTCAACTCTCCATCATTCAACGTTTTGAAGAAGAAACTTACCGATGTTATGCTGCATGGCTACTTTAGCATTTGGAACTTGACGTTTTCCACATCTTCCACGAAGTTGATTCGATAACTCAACAACTTGGGCAACTCCTAAACGTTCGTTCCTTCATAGTACTGCAGCTGCGAAGGAAGCTCTCACCTGTTGCTCCGATAGGATGTCCCTTGGAGATTAAACCTCCGGAAGGATTAATAACCCACTTTCCACCATATGTGTTATCACCACGATCAATTAGCTCTCCAGCTTTTCCTAAAAATGGAACTTTCAACTCATATCAATATGTGTACTGACCGACTGGACAAAGTCCAATTGCTTCATAGGTGATCAGCTCATTTGGAGCAAAGCAGTCATGAAGCTCGATTACTTGCACGTCATTAGGAGTGATTCCGGTTTCCTGGTATAATTCCTTTGAAATTTTTTCAATCATATCAAAGCCGATCATTTTAATGTTTGATTTCTCAGCAAAGACAGATGGCTGATCTGTTCCCAGCTTCATTCCTTCAAATCAGTTTTGTTACTTAATTGTTGCTTTGAGCCAATTCAATTACCAACAAGTTCGACAGCCTGGGCTCTAAGGTGAGGATGTTTGTTCAAGAAGTTTTCTGAACAAAGGATAGCAGCAGCTGATCCATCAGAAGTTGGACTGAAAATCATCTTTCACAATCAAAATATGAACAACGATACCTGCATTCCAAGAGACCCATGAATTCATAAATCTTACGAGCGTTCATTACTTGATCGAATGTGAACTCCTTAGTGAATTGAGATTTTCTAAACATTTTTGGATTTCAAGAATCAGTTTAAAGGAACTAACGGGTTGTGAACAGAGTGAAGATGGTTCTTATGAGCAATTTTTGCAAAGTGTTCACGCTTGGTGCCTTACAAAGAACATAGTCAGAATCAGAATGTGAGATGTAGTTACCGTATTTCTCCATGTGCTCCAATCCAGCATTACCAAACATCTGAGCAGTGATTGGGGCAGGCTGGAGTCCATAAGTATCGGACATGACCTAGTATTCAGAAAAGAACTAAGAAATACTTAATGAAGTTGATACTTGAATATGATTATCGACTGAGAGAGCTCTATCATCAGTGTTTCCAGCTTGACCATCAAGAGATCCTGGAGCCATTTTCTCGAAACCCACTGCCATAACACAGTCAGCGTTTCCTTAACATTGGAGAACATGAAAATGGAAACCAAGTTGTAGGGTTACTAACCACTCTCAAGAATCTGTTTGCACAAGAAAACTCCAGATGATCCGGAAGCACATGCATTGTTAACCTGTTAACCAGTTTATCAAGCGTTGAGCGAAGAAAAGTTACATTGAAAATAGGAATTCCAGTGAATCCAATTTCGTAAAGAGCTCTCTGTCCACAACATGTTCCTCCGAATAAGTAACCAACAGTTGCTTGTTGAACATCGGAGTATTGCAATTTACAATCATCCAAAGCCGTAGTAACTGAAAACAGTAAAGAGAAGGATGTGTTGAACGAAGTATTTGTGTTACCGGCTTCCTTGACCATATCAGGATAATCCCAATCTACGCTTCCTGGCTTACAGAATTTGGTCATTCCAACCCCAACAACATAAACTTTGGTTTTTGTCATTTTGTATTTGAAGCTGGAACAATTGAAATGAAAGTAGTTTGAATGAAAGAAATAGTATAATATACTAACTATGAAGTCTATAAATATTAACAATGCGAACGAAAAATAAGGAAAGAATGATAAGAATAGGAGGAGTGTTTGATCATTCTAGTCGGCTAGACTGTAGGATCTAAAGAGAAAAGAATTATTGATTACAGAAAACTGTTTTTTGAACACAATTTGCTTTATTTAACATAAGGAAATGAAGGGGAGAGATAAGAAAATCAATCAATAACGTATTCCTTCAAGACAGGACATGACGGGGGGAAGAAATACTTCTGAACTGGTTCAACGAACGGTCTCCCCCCCTTTGGCCATTACCCACCAACCATCTTTGCATAGAGAGTTCGCTCGTTACTCTGATCAATTTTTAAAAATCAAATGATTAGCGCCGGAATTGTTTATGTTCTCTGACCTTTTAGGGACAGTGGAGAAAGGTTTCATTTCTACTTTGGGACGCATGAGAGGCGGTTGTTTTTATGAAAATAGGGAGATAATGTGTGTTTTGGTCATAATTATATGACATAATTCGTCTTATTCTTTTAAAAAGTCTTATTGTCCCTCTTCTCATAATGACCTTACAAGGAAATATTCTAATATGAGCAAGAGAGACTGAATGGACATAGGGTAGGGAGGCTCTTAGAAGGGGCGGAGTTCAGCGCACTAAACAGCGAGGCTAACCTGAGCTAATCCAATCTCAGAATTTACATCAAGACGTCTGAGTATTCTGACACAAAATGATATTACGTTATCATTTTAACTTTGTTCTATTTGTATTATGCTTAGTTTCACTTTTTGAAAATGTAAATGGCACGATAATGTGTGAGAAACGGAAAGCTGGTCGTAAGGCTCTGAACGACTCCCTAGCCATCTCAGATGTTGTGTTGTCTGCGACCATACGTAAGATTACGTTTGACCAAGAAGATGGAAGTTTACAGGTAATAAGTTCATAAGAAACAAGATAACTACAATTTTCTCTTTTCAGTCTCTGATTCTCCGTATCCGTCGGATTTTTAAAGGACGCGAGTACGTTGTGGGAAAGAGTGATCTGAACATCTTTGGAATAGAAGAAGTTGAAGTGAGATTCTTGTCCTTGGAAATTAAAAACCAAATCATAATTTAGTGTTCGAAGCATTTGTCCTTACATTCAACCTTTGTTTTCCCTTTGTCAGTCTCCGGAGATCATTTTTTCCTGGCTGCTCCCATTTTCCCCATCAACTTGAGTATATTGGATTCGCTGCATTCGTTTTCTCGAGGTAAACTTTTCATTCATTTTCGAAACTCAGAGAGTATCAAAAGAAATCTCCAAGAGATAGTAAGAGAGAAAGAGAGTTTGAAGGAGTATTTCAAAGAGCGAGTAAGGGTTTCTCAAGAGCATCCATTCATTTTACTATTAATAATTAGTCATTTAATTGTCTTTCTTCTTGTAAAAGTCAAATGGAAAGCTCTTCAAAAGGGATGGAATAAAAGATTTTTGCTCCTCATTGTTCCAACAATCCTCGCAGAAATATGTTTGACAGGTGTTGAATCATGAATGCTTCAACTTTCACCTTGTAAGCCAAATGATGACCTATGTAGTTGGAACATACCTTACGTAACCAAACCACTTATCGTCTAATCCAATTTCCATATGAGACCATTTATTACGAAAATTAAAAAAAATACATTTTGCTCTGAATAATTAAGGAATAGGAGACTACAAGAAGGTCACTGTCTCTCTCTTTCCCCCTTATTCTCTTGTTGGTTTTGGGGCCAGATGCGATATGTCGATGTCGGTTGCCAAATATCTTCGCACCTGACCATGTCGTCCATATTGACAAAAAAGATTTACAAAATATTCTTTATTTTGTTACCAAACTATCATCCGTTTGACAATCCCATATTCAGCTGGTCTTAATGTACATTTATATAACGAAAGACCAACACGAATCCAAATATGAGAGTAGCACAGCACAAGTTTCATGAGCAAAACGGGAAAACTCATAATTGTATGTTTCAGGATTACCTCATCGCAAACGTCGTAAGCCCAAACATAGTAAGTTACTTGATCTTTGATATCACTCTGATATATGATGGGAGCTGATTTTCTGAGCAGAATAGACAAAATGATTATTTTCAGCGGTCTGCGAATCTTCCATTTGTCCGTTGGGATCGAAGTGCTCAGTGCTAACGTAATCAAAATGATAAAGCTTATCCTTGTAACTATTACTGCTTTCCAGTGGAACTTGTGAATGCCGGAGTAATTGCCGATCTTCGGGTCCAGCTGTTTGTGGTTCTGACAATGTCTCTTATGCTTCTCTATGTCATTTGTCTATTCGTTCTTGCTTACTGCACAAGAAAGGAAAGTCTGGTCTGAAGTTAGCTTCACATGGTCATTGCAGTGAGTTTTATGTTTCTGAATATTTGAAGGATTGAAAGATTGATAGAGAGACAAGGGAGTAGAGAGAGATAGTTTTGAACATCAATATTCGGTGTGTTCTTTGGAATGCTTCATTTACTCTTTGGATTACTTTACTCACTGACCGTAGCTCCCAGCAGACAAATATGGCATTTCATGGCTTTAGCGAGGGAAGAGAAAAGATTTTTTGTCTTCTTTCCGATGGCAAAGGTCATCTCATGCGGCTGTCTTTGTCAAACGAATTCTGCTAGAATTGAAATGCGAAAGATTAACTTCACTTAGCTCTTAAGCTCTGTGTAAGAAGAGAAGAATGAAACGGACTTCAAAAATTATGGGAACAGAGCAATTAAGAGTCTTATTGAATGCCATCTGACAATTCTCAGGATCGTTCGCTTTTCGAGTATTTTGCTCAGCTTGTTAGCTTTTCTGAGCTTTAAGTAATCATTCTCCTTTTCAACCACTTGCAATCATTTTGATGTCAAGAGTCAATTTTGGACGATTCATCTTCCCCCCTTCATCTTCATCCCTCCCTCATTTTAGTCTCAAAACTTCTAAGCTATGCTGAATGCTTTTGATATTTTATTATTTTTATTAATCTGTGCAGAAGGGTGTTATAGATATCCTCAAGGTACATATACAACACTACTACTTAGCTTACCTATCTCATATACTATGTTAAGGCAAACGCAATCCTTGTGACGATTTGAGATGTGGGCCAGGAGAAGACTGTGTTGTTTCACAGGTATTGTTTACTTCTCGCTCTCCACTCATTGACTGATCATAGAATAATGGAGTACTATCAGCTACCTGTGTCTGTCCAGCATCTTGTCCGAATTACGGAGATGCAGGTTTCATACATCAACTGTGCTTGTCAACTTACGAGATTTTCAGTTGATTCTTCTCCGGTTTGCTCAACGAACGGCGTTGATTATCCATCACTCTGTAAAATGAAACAACATGCTTGTTCAACCAAGACGAACATCACAGCAAAATACTTCGGAAGATGCGGTTTGTTCGTTTTTTTGGAAAATAATTGAGTTGCATTCCTTGCAGATCCTTGTGATGAATTTCCATGTCCCTCAGGAACCTCTTGTCATCTGAATTCTCATCGAAAGCCTGAATGCAGGTTTGTTTTTTTGCGAAATTTTGAAACCCCGTTTCTAATTTGTATTTTTAGATGTAGCGAACAATGTTCTTTGAAATATGATCCTGTCTGTGCAACTGATGGAAAAACGTAGGCCATACTGTACGATACTTGGCTAAGCCAGTTGTTTTCTAGATACTCAAATGAATGTGTTATGAAGGTTTCTAGTTGTAAACAAGAACAGACACTCGAAGTGTTCAAACGAGGAAAATGCGAAGGTAATCCATAAGCTGAGAACAGGCTCAGGTTATATCAATTCAGATATTCAAACTCCTTGTAAGAATATTGTATGCAGCCATGGGTCTGAATGTCAGATCAGAAATGAAACATATGCTAGTTGCGAATGTGAAGCATCATGCACTCAAGTTATGAAGCCCGTTTGTGCAACGGTAATTATGAATTCGAATTTGGTCCAATCTATTTTTATTAAAGAATGGCTTGACGTTCGATAACCAATGTGAACTACGAAGATATGCTTGTGAGCAGAAGTCCAGAATCCATGTGAAACACCAAGGAACGTGCGGTAAGATGAATATTTTTGTTTAAAATTTTGTTGGAAAATATATTATTGCCCCACACTTGTTGTCACGCTGTGTTAACAAGTTAACATGCTCCACGGCTATAAATTAGCATTTTAGCCGTAGGGACGCCATTTCAAAAAATGAAACCGGGTGAACCGGTTGTTCTTTTCTAATTGTTAGCCTGCAATACTTTTTTCTTTCTGTACTAATGCGTTTAAGGAATCGGGTTGTGCGCGTCATACGAAGGTTGTACAGCTCCGCAGGTATGCACTTTGATTGATGATAAACCAACCTGCGCGTGTCCAGAGTGCTCCGACGAACTCAGAGAAGTAGTTTATTGTGAGCAATAAATTTTAATGTCAAATTTCTCTTAAGGTTTGTGGAAGCAATGGAAGAACTTACGCCAATGAATGTAAAATGAGGAGAGAAGCTTGTCTCTTAGATAAGAAACTGTTTGTGAAGTATAATGGTGTTTGTGGTACGTTGTGTTTTAATGAAAAATTATTCACTTCCTCCTCCCAGATGGATGCTCAACGATTGTTTGTGAATTTTATTCCGTCTGCATTTCTGATGGAGTTTCTAAACCAGGATGTAGATGTTCCAATGATTGCCCTATAGTGAAAGACAAGAAGGTACTAATTTTGGAAGCAAAGTTCGGTCAAACATTCATTCAGGCTCATTCGGTTTGCGGGACAGATGGAGTAACTTATTCATCAGAATGTCATCTTCGTAGAAGTGCTTGTGAACAGAGAAAGTTTATTGTTGTAGCCTTCAAAGGAAAATGCGGTTTGAGTTATAATAATTAACATCTTATTATTTTTTTTCAAGACGCGTGTCAACATATCGAGTGCAGATATGGAGAAGAATGCAGGAGCGGCGTTTGTGTCTGCAGTTATAACTGTCCTGTTAATCCTCCTGCCTCATCGAAAGTCTGTGGAGAGAACGGGGTTAGTTCTAATCGACTGATGCTTCACTTTTAATTTTTAGGTTCTCTACCCATCAGAATGTCACCTGCAGTTAGCAGCTTGCCAGAAAGGATCTCCAATCTCTGTAATGTCGTTGAGTCATTGTCACTCTTCTGTGTCGACGTTTAGCGGTTTGTTTCAACTTATTGCTTACCTATGCCTGTCAACTTCTCATGCCTTTCTCTATGATTCCGAGAGCTCCTTTTTCTTTTCTGGACTGTCGCTCTTAATGGTCTTGCAAAAGTTTATTATAGCGAGCTACATGTGTTCAGCGTTAAGCTGTTCTCATGGAGGCTATTGCTCTACTGACTTGTCAGAGTGTATCTGTGAACAAATCAGCTGTAAAGAACGTAATTATCCACAGTGCGGCTCTGATGGAAACGTCTATTCGAATCAGTGTCATATGAATGTTGTATCTTGCTTGGAACAACGTGAAATACACGTTCAGCCTCGAATATCTGATTGTGCTGAGAAGAGATATGGTCATAGACCTCTTTGAACAAAACATAATGTAGTTGAACTTATTCTTATTTTAGATTCTTGTGAATGTAACAGAATAGGTTCGATTGGTCCAGCCTGTGATACTAGCGGTCAATGCGCGTAAGTTTGAGAATAGTTTTTGGATAGTGATTTCGTGTTACAGTTGTCGAGCTGGCGTATCAGGCAAGAAATGTGATCATTGTATGCCGTCGTTCTGGGGTATTCATCTAATCGCTAATGGCGCGCTATCATGCCAACGTGAGTTCTGTAGAGTTATTTCTTGTTTTAACTTCTTTTCAGCTTGCGGTTGTTCCGCTTTCGGTTCTGCGCGTTCTGACTGTGAACAAACAACAGGAAGGTGAGTAGCAGTTTCAGATGATTTACGTTAAGAACATGAAAAACACTTTAGATGTGAGTGTAAGGTTGGAGCATTTGGAGATAAGTGTGATAAATGTGGAAACGACATGATAATGACACCGTCAGGATGCATCAGTAAAGAAGAATACCTTGCACCAACGTAAGATTAATCATTTTTTCATGATTTATGCTTTCTGTAGCGACTGCAACGAGCTAAAATGCTACCATGGTTCAACCTGTGTGACTAAAACTGAAGGTTCTCTGCCGGATTGCGAGTGTCCTGAGTCTTGCAATTCCGACCACCTTGGCATAGGTAAAGTGCTTCTTACAAATTGAACTCATAACGTTCAAAATATTGCAGCTGCTAATATGACTGTCTGCGGAAACGACGGTATAACTTATGAGAATTTCTGTCAGCTCCAACAATTCGCCTGCAAACATCAGCTCGATTTGGTTGTCCGCTCGTTAGGAATTTGTGATGAAGGTATGGTTTCCAATTGTTTTTTCACTGTCTATGTTTTATAGAAATTGAGGTAATCGATCGATTCGAGAGAAACAAAGAGACTGCTGTCAGACTGGGATCCTACTGTACCATGCCAAGCGATTGCGCTGAGGTAATTTGATTATTCTTTTCTCCATTGCTAATTGTTTAGTTGGAAGACTCATCATAAGTCTTTCAGATTAATGCTGTATGCAAACTCCGTGCCGGGAAAAGAGGAACATGTGCTTGCCCACGTTCATCAAAAATGACAAAAGAGGGTCATTGTGAAATTTTTAATTCGCAGAGTGAGTATTACTTCTTCTTGAATACTAAAGGAAACATTAGCATAATGAGATGATCCTGAAGCTTTGAACTAGGAAGCATAAGCTAAAGTGTTGCACTATTACAGATATCACAAACATTTTCATTGATCTAAACGGTCGTAATGGTTACCATGTGAACATCGATATGTTGGATCTTTTCTTCAATTTCACTATTGACGTACGTTCACTTTATTATAGTACAGATGGGAATATATCATACTTTAAGGTCAATCCTAGAGTTTCAAACGGCTTGATATTGTTCGGCGAAGGTGAAGAAGGAGCTAATTTCATTCTAAGGCTAGAAAATCGTCGATTTGTTGTTGAGTCAGTTCATTTTTCCGTTTCCCCCTCTCGAAATTAGGTAGAAACAAGTGAGGAGAGAAGGAGAAGTGATGGGTAGGCGGAAGAGAGAAGATTTAGGAGGGTTGGGAAAACGTTTCAAAGATTAGAATTCTTACATAATTATTATGGTTTATGCATAGAGTTTTCGACTTTATGTACAATTTGAATTGAAATGTATCATCCTAATAGGAATACAAGGACTAGGATTAGCGTTACACAGAAAAAGGTTGCAAACGCAATCAAAGCTACCATGAATATTGAAACGAAATGTCCAAACGTCTCAGCATCATCTTCGTTCATGCAGCAAGGAAACCAAGTGCATCTAAGATGGTGTCCCCTATTTGAAGGAGTTGAAGCAAATGATATCTTAAAATGGTTATTAAAAATTTAGCTGTTGAATAGTGTGTTGAGTGAAGTAGTAAGTGTGTAGCACTTCCTGACTTACGTTGTCATCATCCCCGTTCTCTATATCATTGGAAGCATAGTGTGAATTACGTTTCGATAAGCTTATTATACTTTTTCCGTGGTCCAAACTTATGTTAAGTGAAGGGGTCCTGAACTCTTACGATAAATAATGATTGAACTAGTTTTACCTGCTAAATTTCACCATATCGCGCTCCAAGCAATGAATACTTAAGATTTCCCCATTGTTAGCACTCCTTATCTTTTCAATCAATTGCTCTTCTAAAGTTGTGTGATAATCGATCAGGCCCCTGTTTGAATAATGGAAGAGAAATATTTTTTCGAAAAAGTGCTTTCAGAATTGGAGATGATCTGTTGCATTCTCGTGAATATGTTCCACTCAACTCGAACAGTTCACTCAGTTTAATATGGAAAAACAAATTCGCAACCCTTAAGACTTCAAAATCTAGTGTATCTATGCGAATTGGAACAAAGAATCAAAAGCTAAAGAATCTATGGATAGGATCAAACACGTAATTTTCATATTTCCTTCTCACCTATGGCTCATTTTCCAGTTTGCAATATGGACGACCAAACGAAGGAGCAGTGTCTAGATTACTAATTAATCATGAAGTAATATCTCAAGATGATATAATTCCATACGATGTTGCAGCCGGTATATTCAGGAAGTGTTTTTGTAACTCTTCCTTGTTCCAGGAAAAGCTTCCCATCCATTCATACATCCCGTTAGCTTCGGCGAACAGGGTGGGTTTGTGGAGTTTAATGAGGTGGACATTGATGCACGTACTAAAGCTCATATTGAAATACGGTTGAAACCTATGAAAGCGAACGGTATGTGGAACGTGTAGCCATATCATCGTTATCTTATTTTCCCCAGGTTTGCTTTTCTTCTGGACATCTAAGGAGAAAAAGAATCTTGATGAGGGCTTTATTGTTATTGCACTAATTAATTTCGTCCCTCATATGTATTGGAGGAACGGCCCGAAAACTCATGAACTTAGGTGCGAATCTAAATCTCTCAAATCCTTCAATATAAACAAAGCGTTTTTAGTGGATCAAAACTGAAAGGTCAAGAATATAACACCATCATGTTCTCCTATAATTCTAAATCTCGCTCGATCATTGTGAATGGAGAAAAGACTGAAATTGATGAACCGGTGGTGAGTTTCAAACTTTGAAACTTCGGTGATTATCAGCATCCACATGTTTTTCTAATATTTCAATGTGCTGACGCACTGAACGGTTGTTTGTGCTAACGCGTTGAGACATTAGGCATGCACACGCATTAAACGGTGCTGTGTTTCGCTCGCTGTAACGTTCAGTCGATGCTCGGTTATTAAATGAGGACAGGGAAAGAATTTCAAAAAAACGGGATTACTCGATGTAAATGTTGTTTTCAGGAAACTCAATCTATGAATCCATTGGGGAAGACTATGTATGTCGGTGGTGCGCCTGATGAGAGTCATTCAACTGTTAATGCAATTGATAATAAGAAGAATCTCGCTCATGATCTGATTCTCTCTCGTTTACGAGATTCTCTCTCTGTAACAAACATAGAGCATTTTGAGGGCTGGATCTACTGGATGACAATTAATGAGCAGATATTGGATTTTAGAACGGTTAGTTCTTTTTAATTTCCGGTACGTCCGGTTGTTTTTCTGCAACTGGCTCTAAATGGAACATTTGAAATATTCATGGAGTGTAATGCTGATGACCACAAACTCCAATGTTGATATGAAGAAGGTTCTGATGTTGACTATTGGCAGATTTAAGAGAGTCAATCAACTAGTATTAAATCTGTGCCCGACAGAATATTACTAATGAAACCTATCTACTGCGAACATTAAAATATTGATTGGTCTAATGAGATTTCCAAGCAGTCACACTTGAAGAAGCCTCGTAGAATGAAAAAAAATATTTTAAATTTATACTCGTATTGACCGAAAATAAGAATGTTGTGCAAAGATAGTCGTTTTGGCATGTTTCATTCATTTGGCGGATTATTGTATTATTTAATGGAATTTCATTTTGAAACTGCTTGGCTTGGAGGGAAGGTTCGTTCTGAATATCCATCTTTCACGCCATTACGTATGAACGGAATGATAGAGTAAAAAATAATATTTTTGTAATTTCATTGGGGCGAAAATTTGCTTAAATATTAACGGGAATATCCCAGATGGATGAATTTATTAAATTTTTCGTTCTGTTCTCCATTTGCTATGGAAATATGTTTTAAAGCAAAAAAACAGAACATGAGAAAGCGAGACAAGAAAAATGATATGTGGCTCACTGATTGATTATTACTTGGAGGAGAAGTAATTTTCGATTTTGTGCGAATGCCATAAGTATGATTCTCTTTATTATTATTATTAATAAAATAACAAAATACAGGATAATAGATTTATTTTGTCTCAGCCGTCTGTTGCTTCTAAGCTACCATAGTCATCCATTTGTTCATTTGACGTCGTTAGCTTCAAGAATTCAGATCAGAGATGAAATGAAGCTCAGAATCTAAGACGTTCAATCTCGAATTAGGAAGTGGATACATTAGCAATTGAATTAAGTAATATTGTTGAGAAAAAAGTACAATGGTGTAATAATTATTTGTCGTAAAATGAAATGAGATGAGTCCAATTGTTGATGTGTTGGCGCAATGTTTCAATTCCACATCTGAAAAACGGAAGATGTTATGGGACGTTTCGTTTCAATCTCATGTGACAATAAGATCTCAGCAAACGAAAAGCTTCAGCTGCTTTTGACCTCATTCGTATGAAAGTCTTTCGTTGAGCAACCTACGTAATCAATTTTCTTGCACGAAGGATAATTTTGGACAAAAATTGATTTTTTTCATTTGCAGGAGGTTTCATATGCAGGTGATTACCTTTATGAAGCTTGGAGAAGCTTAAGATGTATTAACCGAGTCGGTAATAAGCATTAGCTCTGGCTCTGCTTAATGATTCTGTTCTTTTGGTGTTTTGCATGTTTGGCATCTAAAAGGAAGCTTTAACACTGAGAAAATACGACGATTAGAAATTAATTTTTTAGTTTAAATTAATTTTCTATTCTACCGATGTTTATAAGAAATAGCGAAGGCACAGACGTTCATTCTTCAATATCAACACACTCATACTCACAATTCAAGTATGGTGAGAAAGTTCGTGTCGTTCTTAGGGGTTAGCGATTGATAAGTTTAGTTCAATTTGTAGACGGGCGTAGCCTTCTCTTAGTAATTGCCCAAAACTTGGTAGGCTCTCAGAAAAGTTATTTAAAAATTGAAATGTGCTCATTCTAGGACAAGTCTCCTTTGAGCATTTTCTATAGCCTCCCTTCTACTTCTCTGTCTTCTCCATTTCACTACCTCAACTTGTAATCACGTTTTCTGTCTGTATTTTAATCAGTTCCGTCATTTGTTTTGAAGCAAAAGTGAAAATTTATGAGAGAAAAGGCGTTTGTCTTTTCTGACTAAAAGCTCTGAAACATGACAAGCTCACCCCCTCTCTCCCGAGCTGTTTAAGTTTTTCTGAGACAAAAGTTGAAAGATAACGTTTTTGTGTAACTAATTCATAATGTCCGATCAACGAACCTGCATCTCGATATTGCGCCAGATATGTTGAAAATTTCTTTTTGGCAGAGCGTACTCGGCTGGTTGGGAATCAAGATAATCGCCAGTGTCTGAAATTGAGTTCTTGAGGAGTTTCCCGAAAAAAACGAAAAAAAGCCGAAAATGTTTTCGTTCAAGGAGTGTCTTTCCTTCCGTGGTGATGGGAACGTGGTCTTTTATCTTTCGATAACTTACCAATACTGAAGGCTTCGCTGGCAACTAAGAGAGCGCAGATAAAAAGAAGTTTGCTGTTCATTTTCCAGAGGACCGCGATTTGAATACTGAAGAAGGAGCTTTGGGAGTCTGGCTTACGAACTAAACGTCTTATCCTCAAAAAATGAGGGCGTGGTTTATATGGGCGGAGTTAGAGCTCATAGTTCCGAAAAAAAAGAAAACCTTTCTTTCGAGAGGTTTTTCTGCGAATTTCATTAATCATACATATATTTTCCAAAATTATGACAAAAATTGTAGAGGGAGAATAAAATACAAAACAGATTTTACAAGCGAAATGAGGAAGAGAAGAAGGAGGAGGAGGTTAGTGAGGGAGTCAAACAACAACAGCATCAAATGAACCCTTGTCTTTCATTTCCTCTTTTTTCCAGCCATTCTCAATGAAAATGACGAAGCAATAAGAGATTGTAGTTTTTTCTTCCAGGCAAAAACCCATGGTGACATATCCGAAGACGTTCGTTGCACAGCAAGCTGTGATTTCGGAGAGACATGCTATCAACGAGGGAACAATCAACAGTGTCGTGGTAAAGCTCTACTTGTGAATGAAACAAAGATCTGCTCATTTTCCAGGAACAGATCTTACTTCCATCTCATTGGATGGTAAGGAAGAGTATGGATATGCAAATGGAGGAGATAAATTGTAAGAAATCATGACAGAATCTCAAATCAATGCTACATCTTTCAGCTTAACATCGACGAATAGTTCAAAGTTTTCATTTGAGTTCAAGTCACAAACAACAACTGGAATTTTATGGTGGGAATCAACGTGGTCTCAGAGAGACGATGGAGATTTCTTTGTTATCTACCTGGCCAAAGGTCTGTGTGGGACTTGGAAATATAATATTCTTCCATTTTAAGGTAAACTGAAAATGGGATTGAATCTGGGCAACGATCTTAAATTTCGTCCGGTTGTTTTGAAAGAAAGTATTGAGATTGGCAAATGGTATACGATAGAAGTGGACAGGTATGCAAGACGACGGAAACAAAAAGAGCTTTTCGGTGTTCAAAATTATCAGCGACAATCCTTTTTACTACAGGCTCGATCGACGAATTCGTGTACAAGTAGCAAAGGAGAAAGAGTTGACAATCGTTACTACACCTGGATCAACGGAGTTGAATACAAACGGAGTTATTTACATAGGTTTGTCCTTTTTATTGTCTTAATATGGAACTCGAGGGAAAGTGGATGCGAAAATTTCTATTCGGCAACTTCCGATTCTATTCTCGAATTTAAGTTGGAGAAAGATTTTCTAACAAAGCTTATTAAGTAAGAAAACACTGACATGTCAATTGCATAACGAGCTCATAGCGGATTGTTGTTGTCAGAGGATTCTTTGATAATTATATTTTTGGCCAAGTTGTTTCACAGCATGAAAGAGACAAAAAGGAAATCAATCCTATCAACTGTTCCTCCTAACTGTTTATGCGAAAGAAAAGAAGTTTGTATCTTTCTATTCTAGGTGGCCGTAAGACGTCAAAGAAATCAGTCCCACTTCAAACAATGTTTATCGGATGCCTCAGAAATTTGGTTGTTAATTCGAAACCAGTGAACTTATTGCATGATTCTATATCGGATGTCAAGCCATCGACTTGTCGTTCATGAAAGCTTGCAGTAAGATCGAATTCAAACGAAATCCTTTTAACTAATAACTTATCCAAATACAAATTTGCATCAACTGAGAGAGATAGTAGAGACAGTTGAGACTATTAGTCGGGTGAAACCATATGCTATATATTTCGCAGAAAAAAAGAATCAAAAAACACAAAAATTGAATCTTCCATAACTCGCTGAGAATTTTGACAAATATTTGTACTGCAAAGTGTTTTTTTCTAAAATATAATCACATAGTTTTCTGAACTGCTCGTGTAAATTGATATGTTCGTTGATGAGAGTAATTAATCTTTTCTATTTCATAATTCGTGACAAAGTGTTTTATATATATATAAAAATGAAAAATAATAAAGAAATAAATTATCAGAGCAGGAAAGGACTCAAGCTTCCAGTATTGTAGATGTCGAGTTTCTAATTCAATGAATAATGAATAGGGGAAGCACTACATGAACAAGCAAATAACATACACACACACACACATACACACATCTCAGAGACATTCAATTTCTATTTGGGAGTTTCTACTTTGAAGCCTTGTTGTCTCACCGTTTAAGCCGAGACTACCAGCTCGAAACTATAGGATCAAATTCAAATTCTGATTGGTTAGTACAACGAACGAGAAAACTTAGAAAATACTACTTAATACATTGCTGAATGTCACTCCATGTTTAATATACTTCGGTGGAGCACATTTACGCTTTGAACTCCGTCTGCGTTGAATGCCACCTCGTCTAGAGACCGAGCGGGCGAGTTGGGTGGTGTTGCGATGCCGCCGATCTACAAGTTAGCATAAATGATAACCACGTGAACAATTGATAATTATAATATTGCGTACAATACGCAGATTACGGAGCACGCCTCACCCGCGCAATTTCATTTTAATATATTCTGACGTGGAGTGCGGTTGCTTTTTTAGTTCATCCCAGTTTAATTGCATTCAAACACGCCATGTCACATTTCCTTTATGTTGTTATCATGTGTTACTAACCTGGCTGAACTGTGTATTGTAATATCCACCCCTTTGACAACACACTTCGGCCGCAACTGCGCTGGGGAAGCCGCATTGAAGGGCCTCGTTCTATTTTGCGATTCACGAAAAAACTGATCCTCACTGAAGATAGATTTGCAAGGAGTTCACTAGGGATCGTAGCTCATACCGTTCATGTCTGTTGTCCTGGAAACGCCCTCTCATGTGTGGATCATCGATGGAATCTAAATAAGCAGTATCAATGAGGAATTGAAGATTGTTTTTACTCTTAGAGTTGTTTCTTCCACGGTCGTCATACATGTCGTTATTTCTTGTTTCATAATTGAAATATCCTTCAGGCTTTTGATTGCTCATGTTTTCCTGCATAATAATATATTAATGAAAACATATTGTAGAAATTCATGACTCACTTCGATATAAATGTTATGAGCACTTTGGCTTTTTGTTATTTGAGGTCGTTGATTGTCCATTTGCTTCAAGTAGTCCAAATTTTGCGAATTCAGTCTAATAGGACTTCTAAACAGCATATGAATTTGAAATGAACACGCGAATGTTGTTACTTTCCACTCCAGGTGTCCATCACATCGTCTAAGGAAGGTAAACCTAACTCGGAACGGCTTCTTTTCAGCTCTTCTTCACGTTCTCTCAACTGCTGGATTTCAGCTGCTATTCGAGGATCTGCGAAATCCGAGGGCATCTGTGATTTACAGTATTCAAATGAGTTCATCACTAACTTACAGGTAATTCTTCACCAGTCATGTTGTTTGGAACTCCTTGCTTTTTAGCAATCAAGGCTGCAGCTGACTTCTTGACGAAACGTCCAGCTCTGAAATTGAACTCAATTATGCTTTGGCGAACACCACGGTGTTGAGAGGTACCTATTGTCCTGGCTGTTTGACTTGTCATTCGAGTAGCTGCTGCTATCAACAGTATCTGTACATAATTCTCTTTCCAGGGCATTCATTCGCGGGCTCTGAGAAGTACATGTTCGTCTTGTCATAATACTTCCAACATACTTGATTGAAGCGACCGGGTTGCTTTTGCGGGCTCTTGTCTCTTATAGGCTTCTCAGCTTTTTTATTTGGAGAGAGGGGAGCATGTGTAACAGTAATTTGAGGGGTTGGCTCCATTTTCTTGACAACGCCAGGATGAGCCACAGGAGGTTTGACAGGCTCAGCAACCTAAACGATTAGTTATCCATACATTTAGAGAAGTATGGAAGTTTACAAATGTCTCGATTATAATCTCTGCATGATAACTGGGAAGAGCATGTACGTGATTCCAGAGTGTTTCGGACAAACCAATGCCTGAGAAAGATTTCTATGATTAGTTAGGTATGGGTGACTCTCTACCGAGGTAGTTTAGAATGTTCCGATGACATTTGAAATATATCAAAAGTTTTTCAGCCTCGTCATTCAACTCTCTAACGTTATCTGGCAACTTGCGGATGACGGCTCCTTGAGGAAGATCGAAAGGTAACTTTGCTGAGTTGATCTGAATTGTTTGGTTGTTATTATAGTGGATGTGAAGCTAACTGAATCGTCAGTTCCCATAGCTGAATCCGTGGAGACTGTTGTGTTTTCAGCTGGATCACTGCGTTCCGAGAAACGGTCCGAGTCTGATTGGTTAGAAAACTTTTTTTTATCTTCTTTTATTCTGGGGTTAGAGCGATCCGAGTTTCGTATGTTCTGAATAGAATGTTCAGTCCACTTTATGAACAAACCAAACAAACGGGAGATCGTCTGTCCAGAGTTTCCCATTGCCTTGCTTTATCATTTGGTCGTGGATTGTCTGGCGGACGTTGGCTAGAGCTTCGAAGGTTTTGATTACTCTGAATGTGTTGTTTGAGAATGGAAGTTAGAGGAGGAAGATGAAGGAAAAGAAGAGGAGATGCCAATCAGTTAGTTGAAAAGAAAGAGTTTGTTGTTGTTTGTTTTCAACCTCATCATCAATCTTAATTGGCCATTCTCCACAATTCATTTTCTGAACAACTTCCTGAACATTGCATACCAATTCATCTTGACGATGAAACCGTTGTCCATTACCACTCTCTCCATTTCTCAAGAATGGGTTAGTGGATACCTATAATAACTGTTTAAGGGAGAGAGAAGGTTAACAAGATGAACCTTGTTCTTGGGAATGTCTTTCCTATCATCACTTGAACGATTCTTGTGGAAATCATTTGCATTGCCTTTCAGATTGTTAATGATGTTCTTTATAGAAGCGGCTGGACCTGGAGGAGCTGAAGAGATAACGATTATGATACAGACGGTGATGGTGGTGGTCAATACCTGGAGGTATGTCTGTTTTCTTCATTTGTTTGCTGAACCCTTTATCATCCTGTAAATAGCATGTGTTTACAGTCAATTGATTTTTCAAATACCTCAAGTTTCAGATTATTCGATGACTGAAATCCGTCAATGATGTCATGTTTGTTATGGCCGTGGAACGGAGCCTGACTGTGCTCAAACCGGAGATGTGGCTCCTTGTTCGAGATATTTTGAGAAGTCGGTTGAGGTATTTGATCTTTCGAACGATTTGAATTCTGAATTTTCATTGATTATCTATATCTGTCCCTCGCGTCCTTGTTTTTTGGAATCGAACATTGAAAATACCTGAGCGCTTCTCCATTGTCCATTGGAACCAGCAGCTGGTGGTCCACTTGATGTCGGCTGTCTATCCATCTGTCGTCGATCAACTCCATGCTCCATTCTCTCTGGTTGACGAGGTGTTTGATGTTGTATGCGTCGGTTGTTATAATCATCTTCACAGTCGTCATAATGATCATCATGATGAGAATTGTTTCGATTATCTGGTTGAGTTATTTGTATTCGCGCAATTCCTCTGGTCTCGTTTTCGAAATTAGCTGCGGTGACGGGTGGACGACGGTTCTGCTGTTGCCATGCAGGAGCATTCCGTTGCTCCGCATATCCACCTAGAATGAACATTGAACAGTTTAAGCAAATTAGAATACGTGAGAAAATAATAAAGGACGTGGAAGATACGTGGGCGTTAGTTTTGTTATGAAAATTCTCATTTCTTGTTAAAGATCACAAAGAGCGGTTGGTTGTTTTGACTTGCATTCATGATAGTAGGTTGATAGGGAAAGAACTCACGTCTGTCAGATTGATACTCTCTATTGTAATCATCAGCATATCGATTATCATAACCATCGTAGTCATCATATTCCTACAAAATCTAATTAATCACAGAAATGGGTGGGTTTGAGCTACCTTCTGATATTCATCACGGCGCTGTTGGTGCTGTCGCTCATTGTCGACGTAGTTGGACCATCTTGGGAAACGAAATAATGAGTTTATAGTTGTAAGAGTTCATTTTACCTGTTTTGAGGATGGTCATGCATGGTGAGCTAGTCCACAGTAGCGAGGGGATTTGTTGTGGAAAAGCAAAAAGGTTCAAAAGTTATAGGGAGATACAGCTGAGAGCAGCTTATGTGACAAATCTAATGCTCAAGAGAAGGTGGTCTCATTAAGATAAATAGAAAGTTTGACGGCTGCCTGTCAAACTGCCTAGACATTAGACGCCTAATATGGAAAATAGAAACAGAAGCAATGGGAAACAAACAAAGCACATTATCTTCAAACAAATCAGTTTCCTCTTAAAGTATTATTATTATCGAGAAAAGCTATTCACTGTTTGGATTTTTCCAGAACTCTTGTTGATCCCCGATATGACATTGCGATTGCTCATCTTACTAAGAGGGTTTGTTGGTCAATTCCCTTGTATCTCATAATTGCGACTGGTAACAGATGACCAAAGTTTTGAAGATAACATTGATGTTCTAGGGTTTACTGTGGACTTCCTTGAGTTGCGTGGTTCTGCCAACACCTGGCTAAAGTACCGCGTGAGTGATTAAGGTTAATCGAAGTAATTTGGATGAAACTACTTGTGGCGGACAACATGAAAGGTCAGTCCCCTCTTGGTTAATGATGTCCTTAATTATGCAATTTATGCGTTTAATGTCCTCTCTTAGTAGCGTTTGTATTTTTGAATTTTTCGATTCGTTTCAATCGAAGCTTATGATCCATAATTCATTTGGACTGTTGTGAGGTTTGACATGTGATGACAGCGAGTTATTGCGAATTCCGGTAGCGAGGGGGAATCCTGTAGAGCTGGATAGTCTTGTGCATCTCATATCTCTCCTGCTTTGTCTACATCTTTTCTTCCTCCCCCTCTTTCTCACTGTTGTAGAAAACAAGATGAGCTTGAAAATGAAATTCAAATTTGAAATTCTAAATCCCCTGTTTCGTAGAATTGAAAATGAAATTTTCCTCATTGAGTCGGCAATGATAAAAGAAGACGTCAAAGATAGGTTATCGTGTTAATCTCGAACTAATATTTCAATAGAATTGAGGACAGAAGTAGGCTAGTAAGGAAGTGTAAAGATCAGTGGATGATGATGTTTTACTTAACTTCTGTTTCTTTGTTCTTCGATGAACTTAAAAGGCAAAAAGGAGTTGGCGACACGCGACTCTTATCGTCCAATCTTTTTTTCCAATCAAAGTAGTCCTTTGTCAAAAAAAAGAATTGATTGAGTAAAAAAAATGGATTTGAAGGTTAGGTGGTAACAAAAATGTTTTTTTTGATGTCCCCTACCGTCGCCTGTTGGTGCTATCCCTTTCTTGGAGTCGTTTCCCTCATTCGAATCCTTTCCCCCCCCCCCCGGGCCCCCCCCGTCCCCCCTCTAT